AAAAAAAAAAAAAAAAAAAAAAAAAAAAAAGAAATGCGTATCAGAGATGGAAGAGCTAGGCAACTCAGCTCTACAGCAGGTTCCATGTACATACGGATATGAAAAGCATGCCCATAGCGACGGATTATGACGATCAAGCCCTAGACTAAGGGCGGAGTAAGAGGTTAAGATTGACAGATTAATACTGCCATGCCGGTTGCAAAGGTCGATCTGTCGAGACGAGGCCGGGGGAGCCGCCCGTACCAATGCAACGCAGGCAATGCGGGCGCTTAGAGTGTTGACGACGCTGACAAGCTAGCGAAACGCAGATACATACCTATCGACGCCAACCATCAACGGTTCCCTCTTTTTTTGGGGGGTTTTTTTTTTGTTTTTGTAAGAAGAGACCTCGATACCTGGTTCGGGAACCGGCAGATGACAGTTGACACAAGTACGTTATAAGGACGCTGACAATACTCATACCACCTAAATGTCCGAGTGTTTCCCGTTGTCTAAGGTATACCGATATTCATACAACGTAGGTAATTACGGATACTTCGCAGTACAACGTACAAAACCAACGGCGGGCGGGAGGGGCCCAACAATACGGGATGCGAAGACATTCATAAACAAGGATAGACGCCATGCATTGGGTTCGCATACTCCCTTCCCTGTCAACGCCATACGTACAGAAGTATGGTACGCTATAACATCAGATGATTCCGAGACCAGGATGAGGGTATAGTAGTCGTTTTAAGATGTGAGATGGTCCAAAGAGGAGAAGACTGGTCGTTCATTGTGGGATACAACGTACTTATCAGTCACCGCTCTCTTGGTTTCTTGTATCCGTACCTACGTACGAAGGACGGATATGTAGTCTCGTTTGGGTCTCCTCCGCCTCGGTTACAGACCTCTGATGCCCTTTTGAGCACCCCGGCGTTCGTCAGTCGATATGAATCACCGCGTCGAGTATGTACGTAGTACACCAATGGCACGCTGCGCACGGCGGATAGCATTGAGGGTTCTCCTGATGTGCTTCGTAAGTGAGTTCTCTCTCACGGGTTCACTGTAGTTTGCAAACTCGACTCGAAGAATTCTCCTGGTGGTGCAACGGTATCGGGTCCTTGTGTGTGCCTTACGTAGGCAATAAACTCAAGTACCTTAATGAGTACAAAAGGTACCTTTTTGGACAAGGATGTAATTAGCGAGGAACAACTCGAGACAAGTGCAAAGTGATTACATAATATGCCCTGGACGCCAGTATGTACAACGTACCTTATATGGCGAATTACACAGCAACAATGCCCTGCTCACCTTACAATTTCTACTACCTACTTTATACAGGCAGGATGATGGAGAAGATCGCGATCCAGAGTGGGATGGAACCTGCGACGTATAAGCCAAAACAGTACTACTCAGTAAGGTGCCTGTATGAGTACATAAGGTACATACACCGTACTCGATGACGGGAGAGAGGTTTCGGTACGAAGGGACCAAGTCGTGGGGCAAGTGCATTAACAGTTGGCCTTGGGGTACTTCGTACATGCATGCGCTAACCACTTTGTAACGCTTGGATCCCCTTCATCCTAGGTAGTGTCGAGCTTAAGAGCGTTTCATATTTCACATTGGGTGGCATTTGTCCCAATACAGCAAGTGGAGCCCGACCCCGTGCCGCGAACTTCTTTCCCCTCCATGTCCCTGGAGTCCCTTCCGCCTGCCATCGTTCTTCTTTTGTTCTTTTCTTTTTTACTCGTTATATTGCGCCTCGCTCGGCCTTGACCGACGCGAAAGGACTCGTTCATGCATTTGCACCCTGGCTACCGGCTAGCCGGCCTCATTCTCCCCCCTTGACCCTAGAACCTCGTAGCCCTCAGGGGCCCCTTGCACAAGAAGAACATGACCCCCTGCGGGACAGGGGTCCTGGCCACGACGAGGCCCGGGACCAGGAAGAAGAAGAAGCAACCAAGCCTGTCGACGACGACGACGACAGCGAAGAGAGCACGGGCGATGGGGGGGGGTCCCACGAAAACCTGCTATGCGATGCGAGGGTTGTCGGTTTTGTCGTCCCCTGTCGAGTCCTGTCACCTCCTGTCGTCTACCATTTATTCTCGCCCTCACCCTCGCAGAGTTTGGTTCGCCGCTTTCGCATGACACACATACCCATATAATTATACCCTCGGACCGCAGTGGCCCCTATCGACGTGGTCCTTTGGTCCTTAATACGACTTAATGCCTTCTTAATATTCATGCCCTCTTCCCTTTCTCCGTTTGCCCCTAAGCGCGACCCTTTGGGATTCCCCCCCATCCCAGGACCTGCTTTAAAAGCCTATCCATCTCTCACATTCGAGCCCCTGGCCACGACCTGATGGCACATATTGTCAGTTGCATGGTCGAGACAGAACTCGAAACATCGAGTCCTACCTGTGTTATAATGAAGCCCCCATCTCCAGCTCCCTCCGTAGATTCGGTATGCAACAACGCCCCGTGACAATGGCTCCCGCTCCCCAACCGTTTTTGCCTCGCATATTCGACCATCACGGACTTCTCGCCACGCGAAATTCTTGTTAACTCTTTGTGTCACAAACAGGTTGCCTCCCCCGCTGGCTCGACTTGCGAGTCCAAGCCGTTCGTCTGGAGGATGCAGCAGCCGGACGCCCGAAAGTATCAACTTTTTCCCCGGGAGAGACAGACGCCATCTGCCCCGCCAAAAGGTCTCGATCCAGAGCAAGCCAAGGCGTACGCACTCGGGCAGACGCAAACACAGGCGCAGGCGACGCAGACGCAGACGCAGACGCAGACAACGCAGACGCAGACTACCGATAAGCCTGATCAGGGACGGTCTTCACCTAGCAATGGCCTGCGCATCCGCATCAAAGAGCACAACCTGGTCCGCCGCCGCAAGGTCAGCGTGCCCGAGCTAGGGCCTATGACCACTGTTCAGGAAGTCGCCATGGATTCTCGTAAGCACCTCCCTCTCTCCCTCTCCCCCCTCTGTCTCTCTGTCCCTCGGAAAGAACGGAAGAAGGACTCACCCGGTTCGTACAGCTACCATTCCCGGTCGCCCGCCCATTCACGAGCGCTCCATCAGCGCCCCAGGCAATACCTCCAGTCCGCCTCAAATCCCCAAACAGCTGATGTCTCCCAAGAGCCTCGCCCCGCTTATCATCCCATCCTCAGCTTCAACCGTAACAAACTCTCCTTCACAGCACGGCATCATCTCGGGCCTTGCGCACCAGTTGTCGCTCGGCCGTCTCAGGTCAGGCAGCACACCGAATGAATCGATTTGCCAACGATCAGCCCGCACAGACGATTCGCCGCTGTCACGAACTCCATATACGCCTGTGTCAAGCTCCACGGCTCTCACAACGCCAATGTCTGCCACCACCACCACCACCACCACCACCACCACCATCGCCGCCGCCGCCGCCGCCGCCGCCATGTCTGCGACTACCATACCCTCAGCTACCCTACCCTCGGCCACCAGTATAACCACGCCTCTTTCCGCTCCCGTCCCTGATTCCTGCAGCTTGGCATTATCTTGGGAGACTAGCACCGGCGGTTGTACTGGCGCGGGCGCCAGCGCTGGCACATGCACCACTCGTGCGGGATCGACGGCCGTGGACGAAGCAACAACAAAAACAGATGCCGAATGCGCTCAACCCCCTGCAGGGCACAGGAGAGGGCGATCAGAGTCAGGGAGTATCATGGAGAGGGGGCGGCCAAGAAAGAGATCGAATCGCCGGAACGCATCGCTTTCCGGGGAGGGAGGCGACGAGCTGAAGCGAACCAAAAGTATGGAGCGAAAGGCCTACAAGGCCATTCCTACCGGCTACAAGGCCAGCGACGCGATAAATAGGATGAAGACATCTGAGCTCGAAGCTCTGCAAAAACAGGCCTACAGCCAGGCCTCAAGGTTTGAGGTCCTGAGGATGGAGGACGTCGAATCATTGTCACGGGTAAGATTACTGCGTTCAGGGGAGAAGAAGCAAAAAGAAAGAAGAAAAAGAGGGGGGACTATAGATGCATGGCAAAGGGTTTGCCCATCCATCTCATCATGTGCTAACACGGTCCGCTGGGCAGGAACTGCGACAACTCGACGACCGGACCGAATATCTCCGGCGCACTTACAGCTCGCTTCGGGCTGGCCGCCGTAACCTGCACTCACGTATCTGCCAGTACCTGCGGTCTCCTCGTGTGGCCAGGTTCAGCACCGACGCCATGTTGAAGCAGGAGGAAGCGCTGGCCGACTTGGATGCGTCGATCGACGACTGGATGAACAAGCTGGAGCAAGCCGAGCATCGGCGATCGCTGGTCCGCCAGAAGCTCCTGGAGCACGTGGCTGCGGCGGTGACGCTCTCGACAGCCGGGACTGCGGCGGCCGCGAGCGAGTCCCTGCACCATGTGATGGGACTGCGAACCCCTGCGATGGCGATGGGCGGGCTGGGCAACATCTCGACGCCGCCGCGGAGCCCGACAAAGACTTCCTGTTCGTCCTCGCGCAACAACAGCAGCTCTCCATCGCCACGACGCGCCGTGGGCACGGGCACGGGCACGGGCACAGGCACGGCGGGCATGGCGCAGGTCCCGAGCACGATCATCGAACAGCCCCAAGTGGAGGAGGACGCCGAATTGGCGCGACGCCTCACCGACACGGAGAGTATCCGGATATACGCCGACAGCGATGTCTACGCGCTGCTGGCCGACGTCGAGGACGAGATCAGCAAGATGAGCGCCGAGTCGCAGCAGGCGGCGAGGAAGGAGATGGAGGCCATGGGCAACGACGAGCAGAAACAGGTTTGTCGCGCACCAAGCCGCGGGGCACTTCGGCTCAGTGCGGACATGAAAGAGCAGCAGCAGCAGCAGCAGCAGGAGGAGGAGGAGGTTTCGTTCCTCTCCCCGCCGACTCCTTCGACGGTCGGCCACCCTTCCCCGCCGAGGGACCGGGGTACTCCTACGGCGGAGCCCATCTTTTTGACGAGCGCTGTGTTCCAGCCTTGAGAAGGGCAGACATTGCAGGTTCAGCCTCGTCGATCATCACTACGCATATTATAAACGATGCCTAGTCGCTACTATGCGATTATATTTTCCTTTTTTTCTTCTTTTTCCCCCCTTTTTCTAATGTCCACGCACCTTGGGCGTTCACACCAAGAGCTACGTCTTGACGACATGAAATGCATAACGGGCAAGGTCTAGCAGTCCTAGCAGTCCTAGCTAGTGTCTGTCAGCGCGAAGAGCGAAGAACCATTTGATACCCCTTCACGTCTCTCCTTCATAGGCACATATATATTTGCGTCTTCACAGTTGTCCTTTTTTACTTGTACAAACGGGGGAAGCAAAAGGGAACGAGCGAAGCAGAAATGCATTGCCGGGGGAAGAGAAGCCGGGATGGGGCAAAAGTTCAGACGACGGGGCGGGTGTCAAACGGCCCCCGTACATATACGATGGGAGAGGCTGGGTCGGATCCTGTCAGGGCCGACGGATTTACCGAAGAAACGAAACAAGAAACATGTTTGAACATTTTCGTTTTCTCTTCATGCTACCACCGTTGATGCTACCACCGTTCATGCGCACCACCTACTTCATAATTGATGCCTCCCTCCTCTTGTGAACCCCATGCGTATCTTCCGTGTCGTCCACCGTAGCAATACCGGTAGCAACGGGGATCCATGTAGGTAATCCATCGTATTTTGATGGGGCACAGCACACAGCATAGCCCCCCCAGCAGTGCGGCATATGGTGGGGTACATCATGTAGGTGGTAGCTCCGAATCCCGGCGTCTTCCCGGTCGTTTCGGTTACAGAAGAGTCGGATCCTCTGTGGTGGTGGAGGTGGTGATAGTGGATGCAGAGGTACCGTCCAGGTACCGTTTCTGGTAGCATCGGTGCCTCCTTAATACGTCTTGGCACCTGTCTCAGATCTGTGTTTCCGAACCCTTGTCCCCCGGAGTGGCCCCGGTCACGATGTACTCCACACAGTCTGGCACAGTACTCAAAACACAGTGCGGGAGCGGGACACACGTCAATCCTTCGTAAGGTACGGAGTCATTTTGTACTGGTTTCCACCTATACACGTGTACACGTACCACCACCAACACTCCAACAAGTAACAAATGCAACCGACTTGAAACGTCTTGCAAATACGGTAAATATTCGTGGTTTCACACGGTTCGGTCACCGGTGTCGTATATCGGTGTGATCGGGTTCTACCCCAATACTCAATGCTCCCAGGAACATACTACCTAGGAAGGGATTTTCGTCTATACATACATAATAATGCCAATATTGGCCCTCCTTTTCATTCTTTTCCGTCAATCATTCATGAATATTCCTCTTCCTCAACACCCAACCCGCTTCTATGAGTAGAGTACAGAAACTAAACAAAGCATTTCTCTCGCGTGCTGTAGACACGAGCAGTGTAGGGATGGAATATTATACGAGGGGAGTCGTACAGTCGTACAGTCGAGCAGACGTGCGTGCATATGCTCAAAAGAGCAAAGAAGATGGGGGGGCCTGGGGAGGATGAAAAAAGACATGAGAAAAGAGAAGAAATCATTGCGAATCCCTGAACCCCTGAACGTCCAAGAACAGCTCGTCTCCATGACGCCTCGGCGTGAGCTTCGGTTGCCATCCGGGACCTGACGCCCGCTGCCAATTCTGACCGCTAGACCCGTTGGGCTGTCCAGCTCTTCGGAAACCCGAATCCGGCCGGACACCTTCCCGCTGCTGTTGCTGCTGCCACCGCCCGTCGCCGAGTCTCGAGTTGGCAGGGTGCAGCGCCAGGGCGGCGGCCCGTTCGCTTCCGAGCCGTTTCTCGGCCAACGAAACCGACGATGAGCCCGAGGAAGAGGATACGGTCGACAACTGTGCCGAGTGGCCGGGTCGCAAATGTCCCAAAGGTGCTGGTATGTAAGGCGGTGGTGGTGCTACGTGCCACCGGAACGCCTGCGGGCCTGGGTGCTGGTGCTGGTGCTGCGGCTGCCATTGACGTTGCTGTTGCTGCTGTTGCCGATGTTGCCGATGTTGCTGTTGCTGCTGGGGCGGCTGCCATTGCTGCTGCTGCCATTGCTGCTGCTGCGACGGCACGACATCTCCTTGCTGAGACTGGACCCGCCTGAGCTGGAGGGGTTCTGGATAGGGCGACGTGGACGGGGATCGTGAGGGTGCGACAACGCGCATCGTGGGGGACCCCGTTTTGAACTGCGTTGGGTCAGGCCGTCGCCATGGTGGGGGTGGTTGTCTTGGTGCCAGTGGTGCTTGGGTCGATCGTACCTGGCCCTGCTGCGGCACGTGAGCGAAGTTTGAATGTGCGTGTGCCTGTGCCTGTGCCTGTGCAGGTGCTGGGTATAGATTTCTCGGCGGGCCGGACGATGCAGCCGCGGCCGGTGGCATCCCCCAGCCTGCGCTCGGTTGGTTAGGAGGAAACCCCCGCGTCTGCCGCACGGGAGGTAGGTCGCCTTGCAAGCTCGCTCTATGAAAACGGCCGCCATTCCCGGGGTGATGGGATGCAGCGGCAGCGGGAGCGCGACGGCCAGCAACGGCGCCCGAGGCCGGTGATTCCACCACTGGTGAGAGATGGAGCTGGGCCGGAAGCAAGGCGTCCTCTTTCTCTTTCTCTTTCTCTTTCTCTTTCTCTTTCTCTTTCTCTTTCTCTTTCTCGTTCCCTTCCTCGCCCTCGTAGGACACAGCGGAGCTCGCCATCGTCGTCGAAGACGGGCGAGAGTGTTGCGACGCCCGCATTCGCATCACGTCTGCGCGTTCCTGGCTAAGCGTCTTGATGTGAGGTTTACGGTGGCCGTGGTTTCTATTGCTGCTGCTTTCCCGCCGGCGAGGCGGTTCGGGATGCGAGAAGCTCATGGCCGGGACGTTGCGCGAGACTGAAGCCGCATCATGGCGAGCCATTCTGTTTTCTTCGCCGTGTTCAGGGTAGATGCCGTTACCGGTGCCGCTTCTCCGCAATACGTTTTTGACAGGCATGATTTGCGCCGGAGGAAGTAGGACAGGGAGCTGAACGGGCTGGACGGGGCCCGAAGCCACGGCTTGCACGGCCTGCATTTTGTCCTGCGTCTTTTCCTGTCCCTTTTCCTGCCCCCTTTCCTGCGTAATTTCCTGCGTCTTCTCCGACATGGCCATGGGCGCCTCCGACTCGGCAAGCTCGCTCCGTTGCTGTTGGTCCTTGGACTGGGCGTCGCCGAGGATCCAGTTCCCGTTCTTATCGGCGACGTAATACGTCGTGGCGGACATGGGATCCGCAGTCGGCGGCCACCAAACATTGGATGCCACCCGAGTCGAGACGGACGGGTGCGTGGTGCCGTCCTCCTCAAACTCCGTCATGGTGCTCTCTCGCGCCGCATTCGCGCGAGTCCTCGGCGCCGCCGTGAGGCGCGCTAGCTCAGGCGCGGGATTGAGGTCGACCTTCGGGATCGTCAGGGTGAGGACGGGCCTCGGCGGCGATTTCGGCTTGGGGGGCAGGAGCTTGGATTGCCTCCTCTCCATCGGGGGAGTCGCCGCGGTGGGACTCGGCTGTGTCATCTGGCTTGGCTGGGGTGAGTATATCGTCCCAGCAGCATCCGGACGCCAGCTTTTGCGGGTCCGAGCCGGAACGGCCAGCGAAGGGCTCCGGCGTGCGCCATGGATGATCGGAGGAGTGATATGGAAGATATCACCCAGGCCTTCCCTGGACTTGATCTCCAAAAAGTCATGGTCGTCGTCATTGTTCCGTGGTGATGCAAACGGACTCTGCGCCCCTGCTAGATGCTCCTTGCGCCTCCGCCTAGCGAAGAAACAGATGATTAGAATGATCGCAATCCCCACAGCAACACCGACGGAGACCCCGATTATCTGTGCTGTCCCGAAAGACGCCGACCCTGCTTCCGATTCGTCGTCGACTTCTGGCCCGGGGGTCGACGGAAGTAGTGGTGCGCTCGTACTAGACGAACCCGGAAGATCCGATGTCGATGTAGCGGCCTCTTGGCGACTTGAAGGCCTTTCCAAGGGCCTCGTCTCTGTGATGAGCGTCGTCGTTGGCGGTGAAGGGGAGGGTCCGGCCGCCGAGGAAGGCAGTGGCAGTTCGGTAGGGGGCACCAAGACGACGTTCCCTTCTGTTCCTGTGCCGACCACAATGGTCGCCTCCAGGTTCGTGTGAGTCGGATGGACGGCGCCGGGCAGATGGTCGCACATGGAATAAGCATTTCGGACGACGCTCCCTGAAAGTAACGTGGTCGTTGTCAGCCCCGTGCATCCGATCATGGAACCGTGCGTGTCGAAACTACAAACCATCTTGTTCATCTGGGTCACAGATCCCAACAAGCTTCGCCGCCTCGATGCACTGCAGCGCCCCTTCACCTATGGTGAACCCCCCAGCGCCCCTTTCGGTGCATAGGCATTCAAGTGACGCCGGGGCATCGCATGAATTGTCGGCAAAGTTCGTGGCGAGGAAGGAGACGAAACAGTGCCTGGCGCATTCCGGAATGAGGCGGGCAAGTTCGGTTGTGAGTGTGAACGTTGCAGAGACGCTGGGGAAGTGGGCGAGGTGAGAGAAGATGAGTGTCCAGAGTAGAATGGCAGGCGGCGGCCTGGCTGCCATTCTATGAAATAGCATCTAATGCGGTCAGCACACATGAGGTTCGGAGGTTCGCGGTTGAGTTGTCTTTGCGACTGGCGGGGATCTCAATCTCACCTGGATAAACGTCCCATCCTTCATACGTCGGATCGGGACGAAACACCGTCTTGAACCCCGTGTCAAATAAATCTCAGCAGTAGTTGATTTCCTTGGTATATCTTGACACTAGGTCCGACCCGGTGGCCACAACTCAAGGCCAAGAAAGAAAAAAAGTGGAAGAAAAATCGAAGGCCCCTTCAACCAAGGGGATTCGAGTGTGGTATTATTCGAGACGGCCAGCATCCCAGACCCGGGGTAGAAGCATGCGGAGGGATAACCTGGAGAAAGAAAAGACCTCGGATTACGAATAGATATACAGAAGATGTGAAGATGGAAGACGGAAATAGAAGAGTAAAGGAAGAGAGAAAAGAGAGAAAAGAAAGCAAAGAAAAAAGAAGAAAAAAAAACCAAAGGCTGTAGATACCACGCCACTTCTAGAAGAGGAGAGCTGAGACAGAAGAGGCAAAGAGTCCCCCAAAAAATATAAAACAAAACAAAATAAAATAAAAGAAGGAGAAGGAGAAGGGGAAAAGAAGGTAGGACAGGATTATGCGAGATGCTAAATCCAAAGGGGCTCAGCAGGTAATGAAGAAGTAGAATAGAGCCGGCAGCGTTGCAAACGCGGTGACGCTGCAGGCATATCAAAAAAGCACCTGCAACCCATCCTGCCAATCCCATGAGCCCTCATGCCGCCAACGATCAACAAGCCAACACCACTCCAAGCCATTTCGACTTCTGCATCCGCCACAGCACATGGGAGCGTCAACAACGCGGTAGACACGAACGAAAATGGTCTAGCAGGCTCCCTTTCTTTCCCCCGAGCGTCCTTTCCGGGGGGCGAATTGGGGGTGGAATGGGGACGGGCAAGGCCGCTGCGCTCGTGGGGACGAAACTCTTCAAGCCGCGAGGGGGGGGGGGGGGGGGGGGGGGGGGGGGGGGGGGCGGTTGTTGGTTGGCTGGCGACCTCCCGTTCCGACTGGTGGGCCGCGGATGATGAAAGATGATGAGAGATTCCCGTCTGTCCGCGATCTAGGATGCAGTCATGGCACTTTGTGCTTTGTCTGCCTGTCCATCCGAATGCAACTCGTTAGTCCACCTGCAGGGTTAGCTCCTACACCATCTCGTCTGCTTGTGGAAACCCACAGGCGGTTCTATTGGGTGGTAGATCCAGAGGGAACCGTCTCCCATTCTCTATTCGGTATCGTGGGCTCGAACCGCCTTTCTGCACATGCAAGTGGATGGATTACGGTCATCGTTCCCCGTGGTTGGACGTCGTTTGTCCATGTCCCAAAATTAGACGCCGCCTTAAGCGCGAGCCCAAAGCGTCGCGCCCAGTGGTTGTCTCGTCATTGGCAGCACGTCACGTGCACGATGCGGGTGATCGACTCCAGATAGAATTGTCCAATCATCTCATCCGTCCTCGTTATCGTGAAACATTGTAAGGTAAGCGGTCCCCGGTCCAGACAGAGGCGGCGGTTGTACTGAGTACCTTAACTTGCGCGCAACGGCGCCAGCTGTGCGAGGTATCGTGCTTGATAGCCTTTTTAAAGATCATTTTTCTTTACAAGACAACGATATAGGATGTTGACTGGACTGTGGGGGTCGCAGTTTGATTTCATATTCGTAGACCTTAACCATACTTACATCAGAGTCTCCGGTAGTGCCGCAGCACGCAGCTTACGACGGTTGGAGAATTAGACACCAGGATGGTTCGTGCATGCTGTAACACCGATGTCTTGTAGCCATGGGGCAAAAGAACGAAACAAATAACTCAAATTGACTTGCCGAACATGGTGGTATCTTGTTCATGTCCCCTCGTGAACTCGGGCAATATACGGGAGAGAATGACCCATTGGCGCCCCAATCTAGAATAGAATCCTCCTCTTCCCCTCCCCCATGTCAACTCCAATCTGATTCCTCCTGACAGGCACACCGACTCCTTTGTCCCAGGTCGACAAACACCAAATCAGCTGAATCTAGCCATTTTCCTAGGTGCAACCCAATCAAGCCCTGCCCTCCCAAGTGTGACGTGCGCTGGGCGCCACACCTGGACGACCCCTCAACACACCACCGCACTAGCTGGTAGTAGAAGAAGGAGCCGGGGCTGCAGCCGCGGCGCCGTTCCCCCCGTTTGCCGTAGCCGCATCCGTCGCACTCGGCGCGAACGTCGCTTTTGCCCGGTTCGACTTGATCACTCTTTGCACCGCCTCCTCCGCTGCATCCCAGTCGCTCGTGTCAAGCTGCACCAGATCGATCTCGTACTGCTGGGCGATGGACGATAGGGCCGTGTAGCTCTTCTTGTCGGAAACGAAGCTAATGCTCACACCGATACGACCGAAACGACCAGTCCGGCCGATACGATGAAGATATGTCTCGGGATCAGGCTCCGTGTCGCCCCGGCCCTTCATCGGAATATCGTAATTGATGACCATCGAAACGCTGGATACGTCGATACCACGCGCCAGAACATTGGTCGTGAGCAGGACCTTCGACCGCCCAGATCGGAAGTCTTCCAACAGGCGGTCTCGCTCGAGGCCGTCGAAGGCGCCGTGGAGGGCCGCGACCCGATGCCCATCAGCCTCCATGCGTTTCTGGATCTCATTTGCACTCTCTCGAGTCTAATCAAGGACGTTCCTTTGTTAGCATTTGTTTTTTTCTGTTCCTCATCCTTCGCATGGTGGAAATGAATCATGTAATCGACCGGAAAGTCCCGACAACAAAAAAGAGAAGAAAAAAAGGAACAAAAAAAGGAAGAACAAAAGAAAAGAAAGAAGAGAAGGGAAGAGACCACGTACCTTGACAAAAATGACAGACGATCCGATGGTCATAAGACCGTAAAGCTTGACGAGCGTTTCGTACTTGTCCGTTTCACTGTCGCAATCGATATACATCTGAGAGATGCCAGACACCGTAAGCTCCGTCTGCTTCAGACGAATCTGATCAGCCCCTGGGGCAAACTTCTCCGCGAAGCCCATAACTTTGTCCGGGAAAGTGGCCGAGAAGAGCAGGATCTGGATGGTCCGTGGTAGGGAGCTAAGAACCAAAAGGCCATGGTCAGCACCTGAAAACACGCAAAACCACGAGGAACTCAACGGCTCACTCTCTTGCACAACTCTACTTACTTCTTCACCCTGACACACTGGTCACCGAGGCCCTGTTGGTCGAGCATATTGTCTGCTTCGTCAATGACAAGAACGCGGAGTTTCGAGACATCGAGCTGTCGTCGGCGCGTGATATCCATGACGGTGCCAGGAGTCCCGACGATCACGTTGGCCCGGACAGGCGCACCGCGCTCGAGAGCTCCGGGAAGCGCCGCGGCCACTATGAGGCCCTCGCAGAACTTTCCAATTTTGTTTATGACGCCTTCAATCTGCCGGGCAAGCTCACGACTCGGGGCGAGGACCAGGGCCTGCGGCTGTTGGCTCTGGCTAAGATCAATGCGCGAAAGGACGGTGACGACGAACGCCGCGGTTTTTCCGGTTCCAGACTGCGATTGGGCAATCATGTTACGCGGAGGGTTTGCGAGCATAAGAGGGAGCGCCCTCTCCTGGATCTTGGAGGGCTTATGATAGTTCAAGCTGAGCAAGCCCTTGTAGATGGGTTCGGGGCTGTTCCGAGTTGTCAGTCAGCGGGGATTCGACGGAAAGATCCAACATGCAGGTAGATCCGAGAAGGGGAAGAAAAGAGAAGAAAAAAAGGAAAGGAAAAAGGAAAGAAAGCAAGAGCCGTGGTTGGGAGATAGGCGGTAGCCAACGCACAGATTCATATCCGAGAAGGACTTGGCCGAGTATAGAATGCTGTCGGGGTTCTGCTGAAGATCGCCGAGTTTCACTTCGACGTCGTAGTTGTTCTCAACAAGGCCGGAGCCTCCCAGGTCCGGGACATTGCCATCGACTTGCGCCTCCGAGACACTGCTGGTGTTCTCCGTGCCCTCGGGGGCGCCAGTGGCTGGGTTCGCAACGTCGGACATCTTCGGTGTTCAGGACGTATCGACTCTTCAAGCGGTAGCTAGCTGATCCCGAAAGGTCTTGGTCAGAATTATGGCGGTTTTGAGATGGCACGTCACAAGGTCGCGCAGCACCTGCAACTAGCGATTCTCGAGAGTTGTGTCGAAGGGGAGGTTGGGAAGAAAAGCATACTTGGCGGAAATATGTTCAAGTTGATCGTCTTGGGGTGGTTTGGCTAATGCGAAACAAGAGTCCACCTGGTTGCTGTCCACAGCAGCCGAGTTGAAGTTTTTGGTGTGGGTGGGCAAGTTTGATGGAAAGCTCACTGCTCCAGCAACTCTAATTATTAGGAGTCGTCCCCAAGGCGGCAGCCAAAGAAAAATAGCGGGGGGGGTATCCTCCTGAGATGGACGCGGGGCAGACCGAACCGGAAAGAGGCATCGATTACCTAATACACTTTTCGTCGAACCTATGTATCTGTACTCTACCTTCCCTTATACTCCGTCCCAAAGGTAGGTATCTACGCATACCTACTCCGTCCTTGAGTTATTCGAGGTCTACAACGTAGTGCGAATACACGAGCGTTAAACAGCTTCGCCGTACCCCGCATCTAGGTACCTTAGGTAGTTAGGTACCTTACCTACTGATAGATGCAGTCCACTTTATGCGGCTGTACCTGTACGCTCGGAGCGTCGTCGAGCACAGTGGACTGCAGGTACAGGCCATGACTGAAGGAAGCCTCGTTGTACACATGGACTCGCGGACGTTGCAAAGCCCCAGGCATAAGTACGAGTCTCGAATTTCGCGGTTCCTGTTTGCCAAGTTTTCCAGGCTTTTGGACAAAGTATCCGTACGTACGAGCGTACGTAACTCAATTCTCCCAGTGGCAATTGCCAATTGTTCGCCCTCCCGTATTAAGGCTCCAGGTAGCGGGTACTTGGCGAGTACTTGAACCGAAATTGCCAACAGGTAAGGTAGTTCGGGCCGTCAGTCTTCCTGCGGGGTGACCACGTTCATTCTTACGATGGACAGTACATAAAGGCAATTAAGGTACGGAGTAAATAAGGGACATTTTTTATTACCTCCAGGCCACGCAGTTGGCAATTGCTACTTCCTCTATCCACAGCCTGATCGTGCTCGTCTTCTTTCTACTTCATCACCCATATCACTTACTGATTCATCCCCCATTAGAAACGTTGCAAATTTATATTCTTTCGTCTCACCGAGATCGACTTCCACCACATAGAAACGGCCCCTTATCCGAAACCCCGTCACGGCAATCGACTGCATGCAGGAGTTCCGAGTTGACAACGTACTCTCCCAACCATGGCAGAAGTGGACGTTCTGCCTACTTTCGGTGCTGAATTGAAGGTACGCACACAAGAAGAAGAAGAAGAAAGACAAAAAGAAAGAAAGAATAATATGGAAGCTTGTCCTGGGAGGCCACTATCACTGCTCCCATGCGCTCTCTCAACGCGCGGGAACGGGCTCAGAGTGGGCTGTGTTGATAACCTGACACGTAATCAATAGGATGGCTTCAAACCGGCGAGCGCCTGGGTCGGCCACGGCATCGCCTGGCTCGATGATATACAACAGTTCTACCGCGAGCGAAGCGCCATCGAGAAGGAATACGCCGCCAAGCTCAACGCCCTAGCCAAGAAATTCTTCGAGAAGAAGAACAAGAAGACGGCCACGCTCAGCGTCGGCGACTCCCCGTCGATGACCCCCGGCTCGCTCGAGAGTGCATCCTTGACCACCTGGACCCTTCAGCTGACCACCCTGGAGTCTCGATCGGAACAACACGACCGCCTTGCGAATAACCTCCTCTCGCAGGTCGCCGAGCCGCTCAAGTTCCTCGGTGCCCGCTTCGACGAGCTCCGCAAGCGACACGTCGAGTACGCCGAAAAGCTCGAGCGCGAGCGCGATGCCCAATACGCCGACCTGCGCAAGGTCAAGGCCAAATACGACGCCGTCTGCCAGGACGTCGAGCACAGACGCAAGAAGACCGAGTCCCATTACGACAAGGCCAAGGCCCAGAGCGCCTACCAGCAACAGATCTACGACATGAACAACGTCAAGAACACCTACCTCATCGCCATCAACGTCACCAATAAGCAAAAGGAGCAATACTACCACGAGTACGTCCCCGAGGTGATGGACAGCCTTCAGGACCTCTCCGAGTTCCGCACCATCAAGCTAAACGAGCTCTGGACCGTCGCCTCCCAGCTCGAGTCCGGCGTCATGCAGCAGAGCCATACCATGATGGTGAACCTCGCCCACGAGATTGCGCGCAACCTGCCCCACATGGACTCCATGATGTACATGCGGCACAACATCACCGATTGGCAGGAGCCCGCCGACAAGACCTTCGAGCCCAGCCCGGTGTGGCACGACGATGATCGCATGGTCGTCGACGACGTGGCCAAGATCTTCTTACGCAACGTGCTCGGCAAATCCAAGGCCCAGCTCGGCGACCTTCGCCGCGAGGTCGACAAGAGAAGGAGGGAGGTGGAAGGCATCAAGCGCCTAAAGCAGCGGATCCGGGAGGGAGTGGAAAATAAGGACGAGGTCGCCGTGGTCACGCAACTTTTTGCCCTCCAAGAGGAACTGCACAGCGTCGACAAGAAGCGCGTGACGGCCGAAGTGGAGACGTCGACCATCACCACCGTCGTAGGCGACGTGACACTAGGCGCCAAGAATCACAACTTCAAGTCGCAGACGTTCAAGATACCCACCAACTGCGACCTGTGCGGAGAGAGGATATGGGGCCTGTCGGCCAAGGGGTTCGACTGCCGGGACTGCGGATACACGTGCCATAGCAAGTGCGAGATGAAGGTGCCAGCCGACTGCCCCGGGGAGCAGTCCAAAGAGGAGCGCAAGAAGCTCAAGGCGGAGCGTCAGGAGGCGGCCAACGCGCTCCTCACGGTCAACCCCGGCCCGACACGAGAGACGGCCGAGCTGCCCGATCTGACTCGGACCAACACCCTGAACTCGCACTCGGGCTACGCGCATAGTGCCCGCCGGTCCGTGTCGGGCTCCGTCTCCGGCCCAAGAACACCGGCCGAGGAGGCACCGTCGTCGGGTTCCGAGCCGACAAGCCCTCAACTAGCAGCAGCACCTACGTCGGCGACGAGCGCATCGGCCGCCACCCGCAGAAACAGGATCATGGCACCGCCACCGACAGCTTATGTACACGAGCTTCCAGGAAGCGTACCCAACGGGTCATCTCAGGCCGAAAAGCAAAAGGGCAAGATGCTGTACGCTTTCGAAGCCACTACCGAAGGGGAGCTTAGCGTTCCCGAGGGACGCGAGGTCGTCCAACTTGAGCCAGATGGTAAGATTACTGGCCTTATGAGCACCCTTTCCTCTTTTTTCCCCCTTCTCCTTCTTCTTCTTTTCTTTTTTCCCTGTTTATCTACCGTCTGTTCGTCCTTCTTTGTTGGTCTCCGTGCCTTGACTAAGCTAATATATGGTGTGCCACAGTAGAAGGGTCTGGCTGGGTCAGAGTGCGGGCAGGATATAAAGAGGGCCTGGTGCCAGCGGCATACGTTGAATGGGAAGCGCCGAATCCTTCGCCGGCCGCTATCACGGCGCAGCACACCGGAAGTTCAGCGCGACCGGGGTCCACGTATAGCAATTCGGGGTCATCAATCGGAACGGCCGGGGCGGCGAAGAAAAAGGGACCGGCGGTAGCACCAAGGCGCGGAGCGAAGAAGCTCAAGTACGTGGAGGCCGTTTACCCGTACACGGCCCAGAGCGAAATGGAACACAGCATGGAGGAGGGCGAACGATTCGTGCTCACCAAAGAGGATCCTGGCGACGGATGGATCGAGGTGGAGAAGGGCGGGCAGACGAGGAGCGTACCGGCGAGCTACGTCCAGGTTGTCTAGGAGACCTACGCGACAGAGGAACTGCACAGTATGACGATGACGCAGGTGGTGGCATCGGGAGACAGTGGCGGGGGGCCGAAGCCGACGACGCGGCATCGGCAGGACGAGCCGAGGACTGAGATCCGACCCCAAGTCAGGACGAGAGCCAAGACGAAATCGAGCAGTCCCGGCTCTTCGGATCCCTTTCCGAACCCAGCGAGTCGCGGAGTTGCGCGCACACGTCGGCAACCCGAGACCGGCAGGTTCGATGCGACGACCAAGGTTCATGCGAGGACCGGTTCCGAGCCCGAACCCAGGGCGGCTGAGAGGCCAAAGGTGACGAGCGTTCGGCTGGTCCAGAGGAAGTCCAGCCTGCGAGAGCGGCGCAAGGCGAGACAAGGGGTAGGCGGGTACCAGACTCACTGGTCCCATGAGCTCTCTACTCCGTACGCGGATCGGAGAACCGAAAGAAGTAGGCATGAGTGAGGTCTCGGTGGGGTTTGAAGAGGTGGGTTGGCTGTGTGATTTTCTTTCGGGATCATTATATCTGCACATCTGGCATCGTGTTCGAAGGTTTAGTTTGAGCCGAACTGCCCACGCATTGGATTCAAAAATGATTGGGAGGGCTCGCTAACTGATTCGTCCTTTGTGGGATTGCGGGGGATAAGTCATTGAGAGCTCTGCATTACGAACACCGAAGTCATCATGGTTGGCGTATAATGGTCCCGCTCTCGAGCTTTCCTGTCAGACACGCTCAGTTTTCACTTCATTGCGGCGGTAGTGTATAAGTAGGTACTTAGATAAGCTCATCGAGCTGGACGAGAACCAGTAGCATGGAATTCAGCCCAACAAAAGGGGGCTGACGTGTGGACTCGAGGTATCCCGATTCCCCCTGGTTTGTACACTACAGTGTACAATGCCATGTCAGTGTTAACCCACAGTATTCCCTACCTGAGAAGCAACGCTGTTGGGGTAATTCGACGTGCGAGGAATTGCGACATTTTGGGCAATTGAGGTGCGTAGGTACGTTACGTTGTACACACGAACTCACGTGCCGCAGCGCGGCGTGGTCGCGCTTCACGGCATGGGACCCCCTGACGATCGAGATTTCCGGGTTGCCGACCGAGACGATGATCGCCAAGAGGTGGGGGGAAAGGTGAGAACAAGGATGAGCTGTCGAGGCATGGCGGTGTCAAGGACGTAAGCAAATATTTTGGGGGTTCTCGTGTTTCGCCCTTTTCTTAGTAAGGAGCAGAACAAGGAGATAAGAGAGCGTGTATAAGGTAGGTAAATAGAGAAGTTCAATTCTTGAATGAAAAATCATGGTATGGGGAGGTGGAACAGCAATGCGATTAACAGACCAAACTGGTGGAAAACTCGTGTTTACGCGTCCTAGGGAAATGGTTACGTCATAACTGGAGCATCTTGTAACCGGCAACGACGCGCAGGGTACCCACTCTGTACACTTCGTAGAGGGGTGTGGGGGAGCAGGAACTACGTAGACACGTCAGGTCTTCTGCAATGTGGATTGCGCCAGAGAAGTTGGCCAGGTACCAACCTTTTTTTTTTTTTTCCTTCTTTTTCTGAATGGTCTGAATTATCGGTTGGCATAGGCCGGGTTCCTGGGCTTGAACAGACCATGACTCAATATCCAGGTCGAAGTGCCTTTACTTTCCTCGTCGATCCCACGATGCCATTGGCAAATAAAGCAGTCTTCTCTGAAGCATGTTTCTACAAGCGAAGCCAAGACACCACAAAACAAGGCGGTTCGAATGTCGAATAGCAAAACTTGCAGATACGGGATTGATAGCCAGGGAAGTAAGGTAGGTTTGAGTGTGAAGTGAACAACCATGACCCAAGGCCGCATGGAGATGGAGACTGTAGCTCCAAGTGCCTTCTGAGGCTTTCCTTTTGGACAGGGCAATTGCGAATGCCATTGTTCCATTACACAGTTCGACAACCGGAAAACATGAAACAAGACCAAACAGCCAAACAAAGCCAAACAAACGCAGGTACGTTAAGGTATCGAGACCGTGTACGAAGTACGTACTCCGTAGACCGTTCTTTCCCGTCCTGTGGCAGTGACACACCGGCTAGCCCAAACTGCGAATGGATCCCTGAACCTTAATATCGATCATTCCTTCCCTATTGCTCGTTACCTTAGGTACGGTGGACGCATCCGGCCCCACGGTGCCTGCCCCTTTGTCCTCCATACCTCCCTTCTTTTCTAGCTTCTTCATCCTCCTTTTTTCCTCCCCTCTCCCCCCTTACCTTTCGTTTCTTCTATACTACTCGTATATCCCCCCCAACGGCTCGTCGTCAGCTCGCTCGCTCTTGTTAGTTAGGTCAGTCGGACTGGCTTGATTGACCAACGGATTCTCGGGACTACTCATTCTCCCCACTCGTTTCCGCCCCTTCATACTCTCGTTTGTTTCACGCCCTTCTCAAAAACGCCAAACTGACTCGACCACCTCTCGCTACACCCCAGTCAACCTGTCTCGTACCGACTCTTCATTAGCTCAATCCGATTTTCTTCTTCTTCCCTCGTTCAGAATTCACGAGGTTGTGGCCCTTTCCTTGATAATTTTCTCTTCCCTGTCTTTACGAACAGCTTAAAACAGGAGACAACATGCGGTCATCCGCCCTGATCTCTACCCTCGCCGGCTTGGGTTTTGTCTCCGCTGCCACCGAGAAGGTGACTCGCACCACCCGCGATAGGCCTAACAGGACACGCTCTCTTCCTGTCATCTCTGTCTCTGGCAATGGTAGGACATTTTTCTTACTTCAACCCAAACCAAGGAACCCTGACTTCTTTCGACCCTCCACTCCGTATTCACCCCTGCTAACATAACCTTTCCCAGCCTTCTGGAGGGATGGCGAACGCTTCTATGTCCGTGGCATCGACTACCAGCCTGGCGGGTCCGCCGAAAACACAGACCCGCTTGCCGACCCTGAGATTTGCTCCCGCGACATCGAGCGATTCGAGCGCCTCGGCGTGAACGCCATCCGAGTATACTCCCTCGAGAACGACCCGGATGTAGATCACGACGAATGTATGAACTTACTCGCCGACGCCGGCATCTATCTCATGGCCGATGTCAACAGTCCCGCCTACTCTATCAACCGTGCCGATCCAGAGCCCTCGTACAACACGGCCTATCTCCAGTCCGTCTTCGCCACGGTCGAGAAGTTCGCCCAATACGACAACACCATGCTCTTCTTCTCCGGCAACGAGGTTATTGACGACATTGACAACACCGATACTGCTCCTTATGTCAAGGCCACCACCCGTGACATCAAGAACTATATACGCGCTCGTGGCCTGCGCACAATCCCCGTTGGCTACTCTGCTGCCGACGTTGCCAGCAACCGCATGCAGACCGCCCACTACTTCAATTGTGGTTCCGATGATGCCCGCAGCGACTTCTTTGCCTTCAACGACTACTCCTGGTGCAATAGTGACTTCCAGATCGCTGGTTGGGGCGAGAAGGTTCAGAACTTCACCGATTATGGCATCCCCATCTTGTAGGTCTTTCTCTATCTCTCTCCATTGTCCTATTTTCCGGTCTTCCTTTCGCAATCTCAGTTTCGCTCATATTCTCTGACAACCTTTTCCAGCTTGTCTGAGTACGGCTGCAACACCAATGGTCGGCGTACGTTTGGCGAGCTCGAGTCCCTCATGCATTCGAACATGACACACATCTACTCAGGAGGCATGATGTATGAGTACTCCCTCGAGGATAGTGAATACGGCATTGTCAGCATAGATGGCGACGAAGTGACCGAGTCGGCCGAGTTTGAAAACTTCGCGAGCGCCTTGAGCCGCTGGCCTGCCCCCAACGGTGACGGTGACTATGCCCATAGCACGACGCAGGCTGTCTCTTGCCCGACTCGCGACTCGCAGTGGGAGGTCGACCCCGACGTTCTTCCCGTCATGCCAAAAGAGGCCGAGAAGGTATGTTCCTGACTCCCCGTCGTCGCAATCCGCGTTATGTACCTCACTTGCGCTAACCGGCCCGAATCAGTACATGGAGGACGGTGCCGGCGACGGACCTGGGTTGGACGGCCCTGGGTCCCAGGAAGCCAGCGACAGCGGCACTTCTACCGAGAGCACCACAAGCGGGTTGCCCTCTCCCTCCGGAAGCGGATCTGGTTCCGGCGATGATGATGATGACGATGACAATGCTGCCCATGGTCTCGTTCTGGAGAAGGGTCTCCTGCTTGTCACTGGCTCGGCTGTCATCTTCACCTTCTTTGGAGCACTTCTTCTCTAACTTGAGGCTTGCTGTTGCCCTTTTTTTTTCCTTTTTTTTTCTTTTTCTTCTTCTCTTGATTTTCTCTTCTTGTAATTAGTGCAGTTCTTTGGGGGGCTCGTTCGGTGTCTGCGGTATGAGCAGGCCAAAGAACTAGGAAATGACATGGATGGCCCGGGCGACTGTGTCGCGTTCTTTGCTCAACAGGGGAAGCGGGACATGATCTGCTCGGGGGGATATAGACAGGCAATTGGTCACCGCTGTGGATATGCATTCACTTTATTTCGGCACGATATGGCTCAGTGCCGGTTGGGAGTCACGAATAGGAGGATACATGGCAAGGGAAGAAAGGCCTAGGGATTCGAATTCTCGACTTCACTTCATCACGTGTCCTTTCATTAAGGTAACCCATTTTGGGGGATCACTGCCAATACCAAAATAATTATATGTCCATTGCTAGCATAGTTCACGACCTATCAATATTTCCTCGACCTCGGGTAGCGGTGACTTGAGGTTGAGTGTCGCTCTGGAAATCCAGGAGTGCGAAATTGTGGGGTAATGTGTCCTTGGCGAAGAAGCACGACGAATTAGGTAATTGATGTCTCCACCCTCACATGCCTCGGGAGTCGGACAGCAATTCGGTCGGCTCGGCGTCATCTCCATCTCCATCTCGTCTGCATCGTGACGACAACACGGTCAACAACTTATTCGTCTTTTCATTCGTCTTTCAACATCATTAACCAGCCGCAGGAACCGCCCTCTTTGACCTCTCGTCGCGCAACTTCGTATTTATAGATTTTCTCGACCTCTCGCTCGCTGGTAAAAAGACATCGCGCCAGCCATTGGATATTCCCGCCTTGATCGCATCTCATTACCAATCCGCCTACCATGGGGATCCAAGGTTACGACACGTTCAAATATTTCCTCGTCTCCTCCCCGTCGGAATATGTAGCTCAGGTTGAAATCAACCGGCCGGACAAGCTCAACGCCTTCTCCCCGCCGGTATGGTTGGAGTTCGGCCGCCTATTCGCCCAGCTCAGCCACGACCCCGACGTCCGCGCCGTCGTATTGTCGGGCGCCGGTCCCCGCGCCTTCACCGCCGGACTCGATGTCCAAGCCGCCTCCTCCAAGGATGGGCTCCTGTCCGACGTCTTCCACGGCGACGGGAGGGGCGACAAGGACGCGGCCCGTCAGGCCGCCGCGCTGAGACGGCATATTGTAGAGTTCCAAGACAGCATTGGCGCGGTGGAAAAGTGCGAGAAGCGTACGTTCGGGGGGTTTTTTCCTTTTCCTTTTTTTTTTTCTTTTTCCCTTGTCGTAACGTAACGAGAAAAGCAGGTTGGTAACCCCGATAATAGCCGTCATCTGCGTCATGCACGGCGTGTCGCTGGGTCTTGCCATCGACATCGCCTGCTGCGCCGACGTGCGCGTCTGCACGCGCGACGTCCGATTGGCGGTCAAGGAGGTCGATATCGGCATTCCGGCCGACATCGGCAGCCTGGCTCGCCTGCCGCGCATCGTGGGCAGCATGTCCTGGGTCAAGGACGTGTGCCTGACGGCGCGGGACTTCTCGGCCGATGAGGCCCTCGCCGTGGGGTTCGTGAGCCAGGTGCACAAGGACAAGGCGGCTGCGGTCCAAGCCGCATTGCAGCTGGCAACATTCATCGCTGCCAAGAGCCCCGTGGCCGTGCAAGGTACCAAGGAGTTGCTGAACCACGCCAGAGATCATTCCGTCGCCGAGAGTGAGTAGTTCATGGAACCCCCCCCGGGGCGCCGCACTCAGAGATTCTTTCTTTTCTTCTCCCTGTCCCTCTAGTGGCCACCGAAACGGCACGCGGACCAAAGGGCACCAGAGAATGCTAATGTCGTTGAACTAGACTTGCGATACACAACGGTGTGGAACTCGTCCGCCGTGCAGTCGAATGACCTCAAGGCGGCCTTGTTGTCTGGCCTGCGGAAGAGCAAGCCGCGTTTTGAGAAGCTATAGCGAGGAGACAACTTTCATTTGACCATTCGGTATATCCGCCGAGATCGGTCTGGCGGAGACAATAGTGATCTGTGCATATCCGCGAGGCTGCTGTTATAGCGTTGCAAGCTTGGTCTTTTTCTCTCTTTTCTTCCCCCCCACCCCCCCTTGTTTAGTGTGTCCATATCCCGAGGGTCACGAAGCGCGTTGCATGCACCCTCCACCAGTGTCTCTCCTAACGTAGGATCATGATTGCCAGGATTCGACATATGTAGCCGATGACGGGGTCGCACATGAGACGGTAAACGGAGTGCGTTGGAATGCGGGTAGCAGTGGCAGTGACAGTAGTAGGAGCCACGGTGTTGGAAAGTGTTAAAATGGGACGGGGCCGCGAGGCAACGGAGCCTCGTCGAATAGCTTTTCTTCTTTCTTTGTGGTCCGTATGCCGACTGGGTATAGAAAGGGTTCACTCGGAGCCAGACTCGTCGACTGCCTGCTGGGTCTCTTTGAGTCGCTGCAAGTAGTGATAACAGAGATGGTCAGTCAATCGCTTGTTTGAGTGATGGACGAAGAGGCAGGGGAATCCGGACGCGTCATACGTCCTCAAGTTTCCGCTTTAGCTCGGCGAGCATGTTCTCCTTGACTACGACGCGCTGATCATCGAGGTCTTCTATGATGAAATCGTGATTGGCCGAGTCTATATTGACGATAATAGACTTGATCGATGGATCGCATTCGATCAGGACTCCTGGGGAGGGGAGGGTGGAGCGGTTAGTGAGCTGGCTCGAAATATTGCCGGTATATCCCATTGATAAAGCGCCGTGAACGAACCTCGAATAGCACGCGGCATAGCTTGATGAGGGTATAGTGCTTCGCCAAGAGTGGTAGGGAATGTATGTGTGTCTTTGCCTTGCACGGTAACGATAGTCCATAGGTGACGTTTGTATGTAAGGTAATGTATGTAAGGATATGTATGGGTCGGTTGCTGGAGAACGGGGCTTCGAGGTGAATTGGCTTAGTAAGATCGACTCTCGTCTAGCGTCCCCCGTTCCATCGTCTCGATGACGTACTTAGTACTCGGCCTCCTGTATCCGGGATTTAGCACCCGCAGGTACCGCAGGTAACCACTACCAGTACGCACCCGTACCTTTCTCGAGGTCGGAGAACTCGGGGATGAGATATGGAAAGACGCCGGTACAGCCGGAAAGGTGTAATTCCAGTGAGAACTAGTCGTTAAGAAATAATAGAGTTCTCTTTACTTAGTACGGATACGTCGGACGTGGCTTCCGTTCTCGGCCACTTTACGAAGGTTGATAACGTATTAATAACGCCTCTGTAAGGTGTACGAAGTAATTAGGATGTACTACTACATACATACATACACGTATTGCAGCTTCCCTCTCGAGTTCTTTGATTTGTTGTCTTCTTTCGTCTTCGTCACTCTTTTTCTCTTTCTCCTCCACTTCTCTGCCTCATCTTTGACTTCCCCAGATCATCTGCTTCTACCGACAACGTATAATATATTTGACAACCCTCACCCGAGTCGGCGTTTTCACCAAGAAGCTTCAGGCACCGGCTGAACGAATATCGAAAAAGTGGTGCGAGGAACCCGTCAACGGTCAATCTCCTTGGGCCACATGATTGCGAATTCTTTTTGCCACATTGAACGGATGGCCGGCGCATAATACACAGTGATCGTTCTTACAGACCTCTTTAAAGAAAGAAAAAACCCACCTAGACAATGTCCTCGCCCACCCCCGAGCCCCAGCCAACCTCGTCAGACCCGCCACGCGAGGAGGGCGGTCTATTCGACGGCTCCCCCATCTGGGTAGTCATCCCCCTCGTTCTACTCATCATCGCCACCGCCCTCGCCAGCTGCATCATTTTCTGCCGTCGCCGCCGCCGCCGCCTCGGCGCCCCCACCCCTTCCAACTGGGACTACGACGACCAGGCCGACATCCATCGCGACTACCGAGGGCCGTATGCCAACCCGATCATACGACCCACCAGCAGCAACCCCCTCTACGGCCGCCGCACCGGCTGGACCGGCTGGGCCTCCCGGAGTGCGGAGGGTCTCAATGAGTTCGGCGAGGCACCGCCGGCGTACGAGCCCAAAGCCGAAGACCCCGCCCAGTCCCTGGCCGGCGGCAGCGGTCCTACCGACCACTATCCCGGCCCGTCCGGCGCGGGCCCCGCTGTCGTCGAACTCGGTCAGATGCGGGGGACGACGCCGAGAGACGGGCCCCCGGCCACCGCTATCCACAGGAACAGGGGCCCGGCCTCGGGCTGCGGCGCCACTCCGGGCTCTCCTCCTTTTACCCCGCTCACTCGGCCTGCCCCTACGCACCAACCTGGCGCACCGTCTTCTTCGCTCTCCCGACCCGGACCAGGAGCAGTGCCCGCCGTGCCACCGCCGGATTATGGCTCTGCTACCGTAACGCCCGCGTCCGCCGCTGTGCCGGCTGTTTCGGCAGACACAAGGCATGCACCCCAATCAGAGACCACTTCGTCGCCACCATCCTCGCCTGTCGGGGTGATACACACACCACCACCACCAGGTGCACCGAGGACCCCTTGAAGAGAATCGCATTCTCTTTAGGTCTTCGGCAGATGTCGCCTTCATATATAGTCTCTGCTTGCACTCACTGCCGTTCTTCTGGTTTGCATGAAATAATACCCAACGGCGTTCTCGTGTCTTTTATTTCTCGGTTTTATTTGGTTTGGCTTGGGGTAAGATAAGAACATGGCATGCGCAGCAGTCATGTCATGCATCTGGACGCAGATCGTGAGCCTTAACAGTATTCGTCGTTGCAGGCAGCAAATCTGATAGTTAAATACCTACCATATATATGCCGAACTTCATCGAATGCGGAGGAGCCGCAGGGTTGGAGACTCCACGAAGAGCGTGGATGGATGTAGTCATTGGCAGGGCACAGTTTCTTCTTTACAGGTCGGCTTCTCTCCCAACCGAGCTTGCGATTATCAAGGCACCTGTCGTTATGTTGAAATATAACTCGACTGTCTCACGTAGCGTTTCTTCCCCAATATTCCTTCTCCATGCCACCGAGTAATCCTGGTGCCGGAACCTGCCTCCTCATCGACTCGTCTTTCCGACAGGCGACGATCTCTCCCCACAAAGCCATATCAGTCCTTGCCCTTGTCAAAGATCCTCCGATTCAATCGAAGACTCTCAGAGCTGGAAGTGTAAAGAGAATAGAACTAGACGGTAAAGAGAGAAGAAAGAAAGCAAGACGGAAGAAATGCTCCAGTAAAAATACCATACGCCAGTACCATTGTATTTTTGCTCCTCTCCTTTTTCTGGCGAGACATAAGAGACGAAAAAGAAAAACAAATTCGCCAAAACGAGTTGAGGATGATAATGCTATGTACTCCTCCGTGTCGACATCCACAGTAACACGCAGATATGAGGCGTGGAAGAGACCGTCCGATGATGCTAATCCCATCCATGCATCCAGGCTATCTATAAAGAGACTAACCGCCAGTCAGTGTAGAGACGGCAGTCCACAAAATCCCAAGAGAAAGAATACCCTTCAATTCCGTGAGGTAAGGGGGGAGGGAAAGGAGATGTGTGAGGTAAGAGGTAATAAAAAGAAAAGAAAGGAAAAAAAAAAAAAAAAAAGAAGGGGGGCTCGCCAACTGATTACAATACGATAAATAGGACTGGAAAAGAAGGACGCTGGCATCACGCTCATTTGCCACTCTTACCACCCTTATATTTCTCCAACACCTCGGCCAGCTCTTTAGCTACCTCGGCATTCTTGACCTGCACCATATACGTTTCCACGCCATCACCCTTCTCGTTCGACGTCACCAGTTTGACGTATTTGCCGTCGTTCTTGTACGTTATGTTGGGGAGCAGAGCGCGGTTGAGGACCACGTGCCCGCGGGGTTCGGCACGCACCAACATGCGAACAGCACCCGACGTGTTGTGCTTCAGCAGGCGGAAAGGTCCGATGCCCCGGGTGACCCAAGGGCTCTTGCTTTTGTTCTTGTCTTCGTCTCCGCTGTCTTCGGCCGCCTCGCTGGCGGTTACGAACTTGAGCACCTTGGATCGCACTTCATGCACAGCTGTCTCGTCTTCCTCGCCGGGTCCGCCTTGCGTCAGGGTGACCTGCTCATGGGGCTTCTCTTCAGGGTCGTCGCCCGCGTCCGCGGCGCCAGGCGCTTCCCGGCCGGCTGATGGGGCGTTTGCTGATGTCTTCTCTCGGTCAGCGGTCGGCTCGGGTGTTCCGGTGGCTGGCGTCGTGGCTAAGCTAGACGCCCCGCCAAGATTGAAGGGTGAGTTGGTACCTGTAGTAGACGCGCCCCCTGCGGGCGGCTGCAGGTTTCCGCCGAAGATGGAGCCACCGGGCTGCGTAGGCTTGGGCGCGAAGATATTGTCCGACTGGTTCTGGGGTTGGGAGTTGGTGAAGGAAGTTGGGTTAGAGGACGCGTTTGCACCGAAGGCGAAGAGGGAAGACGAAGACCCAGTCGACGTGCCAGGCTGGGCAGTGGGTTGGGAGGAGCTGGAACCGAACTGGAAGGGCGTGGAAGACGTGGAAGCCCCAAAGGTTGGTGCTGACGAGCTAGCGCCAAAGTTGAAAACACCACCTGCGGGTGCGGCCGTGCTGCTAAGAGCGGCCGAGCCGCTGCCGAACGTGAACGGGTTGCTAAAGGACTGGTCACTATTCCCCGTGCCAGTTGTAAACGTGAAGGAGGTACTGCCGAGACCCTGTCCACTGGGTTGGGATGAACTGCTTGAGGCTCCAAACAGGTTGGAAGAAGGGGCATTCTGCGACGCGCCGAAGCCGAACGACGCGGACGGCTTCTCAGTCGTAGGACCACCGAAGAGCTTCTTTGCCGGCGGCTCGGCCGGCTTGTCGTCCTGCTTCATGGGACTACCGCCGAAGAGCGCGTTCCCCGCGGGGGGAGGTGCAATGGGGGTTGAAGTAACGCCGCCAAAGAGCGGCTTGGGGGTTTCTGATGTAGAGGCTGCAGGCTGGCTGGGCTTATCGCCACCGAAAGTGAAAGACGTTGTTGCAGGCCCAACGTTGAAGCTTGGAGGGGTGGACGGATTGCCAAACGGGTTTGACGCCCCGTTGTTAGTCGCAGCAGCACTATCGGAAGGTTGCGAAGCGGCAGCGTTCGCGTTGCCGAAGATGTTGGAAGCTCCAGCTCCAGCTCCAGCTCCACTTGCCGGCTGACTTGCCGAGCCGAAGAGGTTCGAAGGAGTGGTTGTGGAACTCGTGCCAAAAAGACTCGCGGGCTTGTTCGCCTCACTCGTGGCGGGCTTTGAGGAGTCGGCAGGCTTGGTGGCTCCAAAAAGCGAATCCTTTGGCTTATTATCCGCACCGAATAAACTGGGCGCCGATGCTGAAGAGGGCTTCGACTCCTCTGGTTTGGACGCGCCGAAGGAGAAAGTAGGCGCGGCAGACTTCAGGGCCGAATCAGACGCAGGCTTGGATTCGTTCTCGGACTTGGGTGCGCCGAAAGAAAAGGGAGATGCGACGACCGTGGAAGACGAATCGGCGGCAGCAGGTTTCGGCTGGAACAGTGACGAGGTTGTCGTCGAAGGTTCGGACGGCTTGGGTGTGAACCCGCCAAACAAGGGCTTCGTCGGCTGAGACTCATTCTCCTTATCAGACTCTCCCGACTTGTCCGCCTCTTGTCCGGGTTTCGCGGATGTAGACTTATTCTCGGCCTGTCTCTCCTGGGGCTTCTCCTCCGTTTTGTCCCGAGGTTTCTCCTCTGGTTTAGGGGCGCCGAAAACGTTGGCCGCGGCAGGTGTGGAGGTCGACTTCGGGCCGAAAAGAGAGTTTCCAGTGGCCGTACCGGAAGAGCCGAAGAGACTGCTGGAACTGGCAGCACCGGTGCCGAACTTGATGGGCGTGCTTGGGTTCCACGTCGCGTTGACGGGCGGTATCGTTGTAGCCGTCTTGTCGGCGCCCGCAGCCTTCGACTCACCACCGGACCCTGCGGCATCATCCGTCTGAGTCGCTTCATCAGAAGCAGCTCGGAGAGGCTGACCGTCACTGCCTTTCGCAACCCGGTCGAACAGACTCCGGCCAGGAGTGGACTCTCTCGACGCATCAGCCGTAGATGGTGCGGGAGGCAGCAAGGGCTTCTGGGATCCGAAAAGGTTGCCAGCAGGAAGCGAGGAAGGGGTATCGGCCCTGCCACTAGCAGCCACGCTCGGCTCGTCGCTCTGCAGGCCAGTATCCTGGGTATCGGCTTCTCCATCCGAATCGGATTCACTCTCCGCGTCTGCGTCCACGCCACTATTCTTCGCGCTGTTGTCGGAGAGGTAGCCAAAGATGTTGCCGGCGTTCTGAGGCGGCTTCAAAGTATCAAACACGGAACGCGCGGGGCCATCGTTCACCGACTGGGAGGAGGAGGAGGAGGCAGTGCCAAAAGTGGAGAAAGGGTTGGGATTCGCGACCGAGTCGGAAACTTGCGCAGGCTTGGCTATGGCCGAGCTGGCGGAGGATTTGTTGTTGAAGGCCTTCTCAAACAGCGCCTTGGTAGCAGAGGGGGTCGACTTGGCCATCTTGGACGGCATGTTCTCGTCCGGTTCCTCACTGGTCGAAGCCTTCCTCTTGTTGCTGGCGGGGGCAGGAGTGGCAGCAGCAGTCTCGTCGCGCTCCATGGCGCGCTTCTTGTTTTTGTTGAGCGAGGTGATCGACAGGACGGAGTTCTCCGACGAGGCCAGTTCCTCTTCCGCCTTGCGTTTCGTCGAGGTACTCGGCCTGGAGGGCGTATCGGGAGCTTGCTTGCCCGCTTCTGGGTCTGGGAGACCATGGGCAGCTCTCCATTTCCGAAGGACGTCGTTTGACGGCTTTACGTTCTTGAATTCATAGAGGCCATAGCGCAGCATGATAAGGCTCCGACTTTTCTCGAACTCTTTGGCGAAGTTCATGATATTCAACTTCCAATCCTTCTTAGCAAATACTTCGTTGGCCGAATGCTTGAGGCGGCGTAAATCGAGGATACAGAAGAGCTGGCGTCGCTGCAAGTCGTCGTACTCGGGAGGCACAAGGTGGCCCAGGAACTGGTCGGCATAGACGGTACCCTTCGCATCGAGTTCGGGGGGGATCTTCTTGGCCAAAGCCTCGCCGCTGAGCTCGGGCGGGGGGGAAGGGATGCGCATGGTGAAGAGTTCAGCAGAGGTAGACCGCATCATCCCCCGGGGGGTTGCCTGGGCAGTGACTTCCCGGTAGACGCGCTGGGATTGCGGCGTGGTCCCAGGGGCAAAAATCTTGGTTTTGGTTTCGGCGGGCAACTTGGGTGAGAAGGGAGCGGCGGAGTTGCTGCCAATGGACGAGGTGCGGAACAAGTTCCGGGAGGATGAGATGGAAGATGAGTTCATCGTGCTTGACGCCAGGTTATCCGCGACGATGGATTTGCGCGAAGGAGCTGTCTGGGGAGTGCCGAGGCGCTTATTGGGATTCAGCGGTGATCCTTGGTAGGTGCGATTCGCGAATTTGAAGTGCGGACGCGCACGAGGCGTGCCGTTCTGTTCCATCGCGGAAAGCACGGCAACGAACTGCTATGAAGGGAAGTCGATGAAAAAGGAAGAAGAAAAGAAGAAGAAAAGGAGAAGAATAGAGATGAAGTCGTGATGGATTAAGTGAAGTAGAAGTTTCGATGAGATCGAAGTGTAGAGGACTCAGAGGGTTCGCGTCACCACGAGTGGGCAAGAGGCGACGAGGACACACTCGGTGACAACAAAGAGCGGAAGGAAGGGAAGTAGAGTCGACAGGAAGACAAGAAAAAGGGCCCGTGCAATCAGCAGCGTGCCAACATCGAGACGTTTGACTACACGGCGACTTCGACGCCGATGGATGAAGTGGTCGAGGAGACGTTTCAATGTGGACCGTGTTGTCGTCGTGACGACGAGATTGCAGGTTGTGTGTTAGGTGTTTCTTTTTTTTTTCTCCCTCTTCCCTTGTCGCTTGTCGGGGGGCTATTGAGGGAAAGAAAAAGCAGGAACAAGGGAGAAGGATGCCCCACTTCTAGCTCCAGGTAAGGGCGCCTGAGGCAACTACCCTGCACGAAAACCTTGGTTGGTCAGCCGCATGAAAGTTTTCCCGATGCGTTATACTCTGTACATATACCTCCGTATAGGTACCTGTGAATCCGGCGATAAACCAATGGATTGTGATGAAACGCTTTTGCATATATGCACTGTTTCGTCGAGGTGATCTATTAAATAGCGAAGACGCGATGGCAGTAGTTTTTCTCTCAGGGACAACATGCAGAACTGAATATTCCGAAGCGAACAAAACCATAGGCAGATTAATGCAACATAAATAGGTAGATAAAAATTCACGTCTAAAGAAAAACCTCATTGTACAGGGGTATTTCCAACAGTTTGTATGCGCCCTCCACCTCCCTTCTCTGCCCCCCTCTCCCGTATCACTCTACGTGTTGTCTATAGCTTGGCCTTGGTCTGAGCCTTCTTGAGGATAGGCTCCATCTTGGTCGCCTTCATGGCATCGCCCTTGATCTTGAGCTTGCCCGACATGAATAGCCTCTGTGCGTTGGCCTTGCCAGCGACAAGGGCACCAAAGTCGGCATCGGATAGCGTGAGGGTGACTGCGAGGAGATGTATAAGCGCATGCGGGGGAAGACGCGGAAAGTCCGAGTAGGTAGGTAAAACAAGTCATAAATGGATGATGACGCTGGATATATCTTCCTTCGCCTTCCCCTTGTGAATGTAGCAATTAAAGAGGAGAACGGCGACTAGACTTACCAGTAGGGTTGTTTCCAAGACCCTTGTCGACCTTGCCGGTCTCCTTGAGATCGATATGCCAGCTCTCGGTCTCGCCAGCCTGGTTCTTCAGGGTAAAGGCAAAAACAGCCTTGCCCTGCTTGATGGCGGCTTTCCGTTCGGCGTCGCTGGAGTTTAGCGCATCGTTAATGGCGTCGAAGGCGGCCGAGGAAGGGAACTTGTCTGCGGGCAAAGGAGTCAGCCGAGCGGAGGACGGAGGAAGTTGGGGAAATTTCGGTGTCGCGGCTACTTACCGCTCTTGAGAGACATGGCGTGATGCTGCTGCTGTTGTTGTTGTTGTTGATGTTGTTCTTGTTGAAGCAAGGGAATTGGAACAAGGCAGACGGGAAGATGCGAAAGTCTGGTTTTGGGTTTTGGGTGGAAGAAATACGACAAGCGGAGAATTAGGTAGCAGAAGTGCTGACGGGGTGTCAAGCGACCGGGGGGTTGCGCTAGTTATATGCAAATAATGGAAATGGCGACGTGGGCTGCCAGAAGCTCGTGGCTCCTCGGAGTCCGAAAAGGATCGAGTAGTAAAGGGTAAGGTAGGAAGGTCGTTTTGTCCCTGGGCTGCCTGCCCGTTGTGACATGTGAATGTGCCTCGGTTTCAGTGACGCACTCCATGAACACGGGGATTTTAGTGCGTACAGGTACGTACGTTGTAGGTCTGTATACACGTGCAGCTCCAACCCAACCCCACATCTTGATTACGTACAGTGCGTAATTGTATCACACCGGAACTCGACACAAGTTCAACCACCACACTCCAACTTAACATATGCCCTGGTCAGATCATAGACCATTTGATGAATTAAGACGGGATCAGGCTTCAAGACCCCCGTCTTCCCCTCTCCACCTCTCGGCTAGACCATTTCCAGCGATGCGTAACGCCCTCAAAACATTATCAGTTCTGTCTCGCTCTCTCCGGCACCCCGCTCACCGATTTGTCCCGTTCCGCGCAATGGCCTCCTCCCTCGCTTCACCGTCGCCGGTGCTCAAAAAACCCGTTAAACTGGCCTGCATCCAGCTCGCGGCTGGCAGCGACAAGCAGGCCAACCTCGAACACGCGCGCAGCAAGGTGCTCGAGGCGGCGCAGGCCGGGGCCGGCATCATCGTACTGCCCGAGTGCTTCAACTCGCCGTACGGCTGCGACTTCTTCCCGCGCTACGCCGAGACGCTCCTCCCGTCCCCTCCCCCGCGGGACCAGTCCCCGTCGTTCCACGCGCTGTCGGCCATGGCCGCCGAGGCCGGGGCGTACCTGGTCGGGGGGTCGATCCCGGAGCGCGACCCGCAGGTGCCGGACCGGTACTACAACACCAGCCTGACGTTCGACCGGCGCGGGCGGCTGCTGGCGACGCACCGCAAGGTGCACCTCTTCGACATCGACATCCCCGGCAAGATCACGTTCCGCGAGTCGGACGTGCTGAGCCCGGGCAACAAGGTGACGGTCGTCGACCTGCCCGACTACGGGCGCATCGGCGTGGCCATTTGCTATGACGTGCGGTTCCCCGAGCTGGCGGCCATCGCGGCGCGCAAGGGCTGCTTCGCGCTCGTGTACCCGGGGGCGTTCAACCTCACGACGGGGCCCATGCACTGGAAGCTCCTCGCGCAGGGCCGGGCTGTCGACAACCAGGTCTACGTGGCGCTGTGCAGTCCCGCGCGGGATGTGAGCGGGCCCTACCACGCCTGGGGCCATAGCATGATCGTCGATCCGTTGGCGGAGGTGGTGGTCGAGGCGGAGGAAAAGGAAGCCATTGTCTCGTGGGGGCTCGACAATGGCAAGATCGAGGAGGTGCGCCGTAACATTCCATTGACGACGCAACGGCGCTTTGACGTGTATCCAGATGTAAGTCAAGGCGACGTCAAGTTCACGGAGGAGGGTCTACCGTGAGTTCTATCGTGCGAGCTCGAAAAATTGAATGTATGCCCTACGTACTTACTGTCTAGAACCCAAGTATCCTGGTATGTCAGGAACCGTTCTAATTACTTTGTGAAGTTGTGGTAATGAGGACCGACGGGCACGGACTTTGACCTTCGGGATGCTGGCTCTCGATTCAGGTGTCGGTTTACGTCGGAATTTCCCATCTTAGAAGTAAAGTACATTGTACTCTGGCGTCACATTGAAGGCAGTCTTACATCCGCATTTCCCGCATTTCCCGCATTTCCCTCGTTTCCCGCATTTTCTATATTATCAATCTACGGATGCCCATCCCTAATTGTCAGAGTATCCGTAAGCAAAACCCTGGCAACCCCTGAATCTATCCGTAGGCTGGTTATATTAAGGTGCGAAGAGACCCGAGGATACGAAGTAGAAGGACCCAGACCATGATATGATGATGTGATTTCTAAGCAGAACCCAACTGGGGCGTCGAGCTAACCCCACGTTCCCGGACGGAACTGGGAAACTTTTTTTACCTCTTTTTTTTTCGGTTCCCTTTTTTTAAGAACCATGTATCCCGATGCTCCACCAATTTTTTATCTCTCATAGTTCAGAGCCTCATTTCCATTCTTTCATCGTGTAGACTCCAAAAGGATTGTGCCATCGCTAGCTCACTCTTATCCAGCCTATGCCTTCGCTGCCTTCGCTCACCTCGAAAACGCACCGACCTCCAACACCCGCGCCAAGCTCCACCGTCAATTAACTGCACCTTTGACAGCGCGTGTCCCTTCTTGCGTCATTCAGGACCCGACCCCTGCCTCAAATCGCCAATCATTCATCATTCTAGTTTCCCCCGCCGCTGCGCGGGATGGACCGACATCTCCTTCGTCAATAGCTTCGAGCGACGAAAGAGAGGGGCGCAGCTCTGTTCTCCTGACCGACGCGTTCGACCTGGGATATATACAGACATAGGTCACTTTACGCCCTTCCTTCGGTTCCCGAGTCTGCGAGTCTGCGAGTCTGCGGGGTAAAGAAAAGTCGGACAACTGTCGGACACCTGTCGGACGACTCTTCATCCTGGACAGCACAGGACGGACATCTTCGAGAAATCAGTCTCCTGTCTGGTCTCACCCGCCCCTCCGGGCCTCTCCGTCTCATCTTGCCCTCGATTGAGTCAGTCGTCGTGCATTTTTCCGGATGTAACTCACACGACTCCTTTCACTGGATCACTGCATCGCTCCATTACCCCATCACCCCCATCACGCTCGCCGGAGAAGCTCACCGGAGACTCTCACCGAAGACTCTCACCTCGTACAAACACAACGCGGAACATCTTGGCTAACAAGACTAGCTCTGCGGCTCCGATACGAACTTGACACATCTGGTTCTACAATCCCACCAACCCCCCCTCGATGCTCGTTTCTTGAACCACTCCTGTTTCTTCCGGCCTTGTTCATATTTGATTTTCAAAGACAATCTTACCACTCCAGGCTATTGGCATTCGCCTTATCCTGGTCTCGCCTCCTTGCATCCCAACTCTCCGCTCCAACTGTACACGCCCCAAACTCACATCATGGGTCTATTGTGAGTGCTTCCGAGTCAAAGATGCTCA